GCGCCTGGCCGGGGGAGGGGCGCGGCGCCCCCCCCAGCCGCACTCATCCCTTGCTGTGTCCCAAATGAGAAGCAAAGCAAAGGTGGCACCTGGGCTGCCCTGAGGAGGGGCTTTGTATCTCCCAAGACCTGCATTGGCCCTAAGGGTGCAAAATAGGACACCTTGAGCCATCCCAGACTCACACGAGGGCTTGAGCCATCCTTGCCCGATGGCCGAGCTGGCCTTGGGCCCCGCTAAGGCCCCTCTGCAGTGGGATGCTCTTGCCTGCCTTGTCTCTGCATCCTTTTTGCTTCTGTCTTGCTGGGGCACTTATGCTGACCTTGCTTTCCTGCTTAGACAGCCACGTGCTTTTCTGAAAGCATCCTCTTCTGTTTTTTTTTCCTTTTGTACTCTTTTGTCATGAATATCTGTCATTTTGTAACCAACTGCAGGATGAAGGGGCTAGCCCCCCCCAGGCTTCACGTAGGAACAGAAAACGTTATGCATGTTGAAGTGTTATTATTTCTGTATTCAGATCCTTGTTGAACCCTCGTTTGAAAGCTTTGATGCAGGCAAATCAGAGTTTGTGTGTTTGCTATTCTGAGGACCTTGGAGCAGTCTGTAGAAGGAAGTGTCCTAAACCTCAGCCTCCTGTGTATTTCCTACGGCTTTATATAATAAACGGTTTTAGTGATGCTTGCTCTCATGTGTTTCTCCAACAGCAAGCACAGGGCAGAGCGCCATCTGAATCAGCGTTGCAGCTCTGTGCTCAGTCTTGTCCTCGTCCCTAAGCCCGTCCTGGGGACGGCAGATCCCCCCCCATGCTCCTGCCTCCCCCTCCCCAAACCACAGCCCAGCATCAGCTGTACCAGTCCCGTGGGTTGTGGCAGAGGAACCGCAGCTCCCTCTTCCCGCTGTGGGGCTGCAGTGGGTTCCTGGTGCTGGGGCTGCCTGTCTGTCCGTGCCTGCTGTCTGTCCGGGCAGGCTGTTGTGCAGGACAGGCCTGAGCAGGACTCAGCCGGTGCCGGTGCCGCACGGGCGCGATGCCTCCGGGCTGGCTGGCAGGTCGGGCTCAGCAGCAGCCAGGATGCTGCACTGCTGCGGGAGCTGGTCTGGATGGCTGCGATACCGAATTGTATCCCGCTGTGCAGACAAGCTTCCTTCCCCCTGCGATACGTACTCCCCAGTCCGCACACGTAGGCTCTCGGGAGGAGGTTTGGTGGGGAAGTTGCTGTAGTCTCCAGTCGGGGTAACAGTGGTCTCCTTCTGGCAGCCTTCCCTGAAGCGGTGCATGCTCATTACTCACTTTTATCAGCCGGGGAGCCATTTATTCCCCTAACATCTGAAACTATTTTCCACAGATTCCTTTACATTTACTAACAGCTGCCACGACTTCCTCTGGGCTTGCCTGCCCCAGCCCCCAGCACCCCGCTCCGTTCCCCTGCACGGCGGCTCAGCTCCTGCGGCTGCTGCTCCGGCGGCACGACGGGCACAGCCCGTGGGGCCCGCGTGGGACCATGGCACCGGCTCTGTGCGTGCACAATCCTGGCTCCTTCAAAGGCTCCTGCTCTGGCAGCTAATGGGATTTTTAAAGTAAGATTTTTGTTGCTGCCCTGTGACCTGCGCTGGGCTCTGGTTTTGCTGCTGCTCGGCCTCAAAGGGTGAGCGAGCAGCTCCAGCCCGGGAGGTTTCCAGCTGAGCCTGTCCTCCAGAAGCAGCACCACAAACCCTTGTTTCTGCAGCGCTGTTTCCAGGGATTAACCACAAAAGGTTTCTGTACAAAGGGCCCCCGGGCTCCTCTTTCAGTCAGCCTCAAGAGCCTCACGTTTTTAGCCAAAAAAGGAAATGACCCAGCTGCACGTAGCGCTGGAACATCTGGATTTTATCCCTGTCATGAATGGGTCATGGCTATGCACGGCCCAGTGCCTGATTTACGGGAGGGGGAGGGTGATGTCATGCACAAACATCCCCCGAGACTCCCAGAGTGCGGGTCTAAAACAGTCATGAAAATATTATTAAGCACAGGCGAATAGTGCAGGGGGGAGGGCAGGGCCGGGGCTGCTGCACGGGGTGAGGTGGGAGCAGGGGAACTCGCTGGGAGTCCAGGGCAGCACTGGGGGTGGAGAAAGAGGCTTCGGCATTAACCAAACGTGCCCAAGCTGCGCTCGCCTGCACCGCCAGCACGGGATCAGGGACTGCGTTTGCAGCCCCGATGGGCAGAGCCAGGTCCAAGCCACTGCCTGCCCCGGCCCCAGCGAGGTGTCCCAAAAGGGCTGCTTGCTCTGGGCCAGGGCGAGAGCCGGGGTGAGAGCAGGGCCCTGCCACGGGCTGGCTGGCGCAGCCACAGGGCTTGGGCAGGGATGCGGACAGGGCATGATGCTCCCTGGTGCCTGGAAGGAGCCTTGTGCCATGGCCCAGGGCACCAGAAGCAGCTTGGCTCAGTGGTGCCGGCGGCTGCTCGCTGCTGGCCGTGCAGCGGTGCCCATGCTGGGCACGTGCTGGCTGTGTGCTTCCTCCCCTGGAGACGGACACAGCTGCTCCTGGCTCGGGCTCGCCGCAGGCAGCGGTTTCACTTCCCAGAGGTTTGTTCTCTTTCCAGCCAGAGTTTCCCCCGGAGGAGAGCTGAGCCGTTGGTGTGTCGGATACAGTCTGCACGGCAGCGACGTGTGCCCACGTCCCAGAGCTGACGGGAGCTGCACCGCTGGGGAATGAGCTCTGCCTGCCTCTGCCTGCGGTTGGGCAGGAGGGAAGGGCTAATTTCAGCTCCCAGCTGCCTGCTGGCGTTTGCCCCTTTTCCAGCTGTAGCTGCACACAGGTTCAGACAGCGTGTCGGATTACTGCGCCGGTAATGCCTTGTCTGAGCTCCCCAAATCGAGCACGGACCTGCCTTGGCTGCTCCTGCGTCCCTCCAGGTGACTGGTCAGGAGGCTGCGTTGATGCTGGGTGAAGCCGGAGGCTCGGGCTTGGCCCCACACGGTAACAGGCAGGTCTCCAGGGCAATCGCTGCAGGTCTCAGGGCTGGTGGGAGAGCCAGGGTTAAAGGGAGAATAGCTCTCCTTTGTCTCTAGAGGTAGGGATGTGGTTATAGCCAGGCTGAACCCTGCAGGCATCCTGTGAGTACTCCCCCAGGTCTTTTTTTGTTGTCCCCTTGTCCCCACCCTGCCAGGGCAGTGCCGAGTGAAGGTCCTGGGGAGGTGGGGAAGGAGCTGTAGCTCAGCACAAGTAGGTTTGCTCCCATCATCCCACCTTTCCTTCCAGGAAAACTGAGCAATGTCCTGCCCTGGTCTGTCCCGCAGCCATGGCTGCAAAGGCACATGGCACCGAGGGGCTGCGGGGCTGCCCCGGGACAGAACGGCACCTCCCGGAGCCCCCTTCTCCCACCGGAGCAAACCTTCTCCCAAGTGCGCTGCCCTTCGTGGGGTGAGGAGGAGGGAGGCCACGCAGCGGCCGGTCCGGTCCCACCTTGACCCTCCTAATGCCAGCAGCCGAAAATAAAAAGGCCATGTGGCTGGACGGGACATTGCTAGATTTCAACTCCTTCCCTTCCCAGGGATGAAGTTTCATGCAAAGGGAAAGGGAAGAACACGAAGTTCAGAATATTATCTCCGTTTTTATTTTTAGACGGGCATTCATGAGGAAGAAATGACGTACTTTGGGGCAGCCTGTAGTGTAAGAGAGTAATCAAAGACAATATTCTTACCTTCAGTATCATTCTCTCCTCAGTGAACTGGCTGTTCCCAGGGCAGGACCAAGTTTGTCTGCCACAATTAAGCCCAATTTTTTCGTTGTTGCTTTTGGCTTAAAGTAATTTATCATGCATGGTAGAAAAATATGAATAATTTATTTGTGAGTTAAAATTTAATTACAGCTTTGCATTTGGCAAAGTGGGGGCAAAGCACTGGCATGATCTCTCCTTGGCATTTAGGGTGGATCTGAAGAAGGCAATTAAAATCCAAGTGAAAGTGGAAGGTTGCAGCCACGGTTTCTGTGGGAGGACTTCCACCAGGACCGTGTCACTCAAGTGCGGTCATGTTGCTGAAAGCCCATCAGGCAACAGAAGTCTGCACGTTCCAGGTAGCGAGGGCACCCGCTCTGCCCCGTGAGAGGCAGAGTGAGGGCTGCAAACCAAAGCCTACGTTCCCACGTGCTTATTTCTTTCAGGCATGTTCCAGTTCGGACTCTGACTCATGACCGTGTAACGCTGCCAGAGCCGGACAGCTCTGCCAGCCGCTGGGGGCCCCCCCGCCGGGGGGAGGGGGGGGGTTCTGCCCCCCAGCCACAGGGATGCGGGGGCTTGTACCGGAGTGGGTGCACGGTGCTGGCCGTGGGCCCAGGACCTCTGCCTGGGCAACTGCGACGAGCACAGGTGACAGGGACAGGCGGTGCCAAGCCTGGGCATTCCCTCAAGCCTGGCTGCAGGAGGTGATTTTCCAAGCCGTGTGCTATGGATAACAACCGCGTCTGGGCTAAGCGACCACGCCTGCGAGCCCCTGGCTTGTCCTGCTTCCTGGGGCTCAAGAGTTTTCTCAGAAGACAAGGTGGAGGCAGGCTTGCAGGTAGCTGAGTCACTGCACGCTCTGCTGTGGCTCTCAGCACCCAGTGCTGCGTGGGCTGGACGCTCGCGCTGCCCACCCCGTCCCCGGGCAAGCCCCGAGGAGCAGCACTCCCCAAAAGGCAGGCCTGCGGGGGCCTGATGCTGCACGAAGGCTGCCTTGGCTTCCAGACGGGTCCTGGAACGTGCAGGGTGAATGTTTACTGAAGCAAGCTCACAATAATTTTGATAAGGGTAATTAAAGCCATGACATTTTATTTTCTAAGTACTTCTTCCTGTTTTCTCTGTCCTTGCTGCCTCCGTCCTGCAGCAGTGCCGCAGCAGAGAGGACGAGCGCCTGTGCGCGGAGGGCAGCGTGTGGGCGCGTGGCTGAAGGAGGCTGCGCGGGGTGGAGCGGCTGCGTGGCTGCGGGCGGGGGGGGGTGTTGGCGGCACGCCCTGCGCTTGCACCAGGGGTATGAGCGAGTTTTGGAGCAGTTGTCCATGGTTAGAAGGACTTCAGGCACATGTGCCACCAGGCCGAGCGCTGTGCTGTTTTCGGACGATGCCAAGGCTGTTTCAGAGTGCACGCAGTTGCATTTAACTTTGCTGTTGCTTCTAGAGAAAGGTCATTGTGCCTCCAAGGCTGGGGTCAGTCCTGATCCCAAATCCAATGCCAGCATCCCTGGGCACTCTGTGCCACCAAATATGGTCAGCGCTGGGGAGAGCCGCGGGCAGGCCTGGAGGGGCTTGGAAGGCAGCCACCGGGAGGGCTCCTGCCTGCAGAAACCCTCCCAGCCGCTGCGCCCAGCGGGACTGGGCCGGGCTGCTGCGGCGCTGGGGTCCAGCCGCTGCCGCGGAGGGATGGGCAGGACGGCTGGCAGGCAGGCAGGGCTGTGCACGTCGCAGCTCTCCTGGGCGCGAGGCTTTCCCTCCTCTCCTGGCAGTGACTGCCGCACAGCCACCCCGGCTCTCTGCGCAGCCTGGCCAGCACGGAGCCCAGCTGCTCTGCACAAAACAGCATTTTCTTGGTGACTGCTAACTATTTGCGTATAATATAAGCTAATGGCCTCATACAACATGACACTCTCCTTCACTCTGATTTACTAGACTAGGAAGCGTAAGCAGTTGCTACGGTGGCAACCCTTTCCTCCGCTGAAAGCGTCTGCAGAGGGCCTTCTGCGTGCAGCCAGCCCCGTGCGCAGGGATCCAGCCCCGCTCCTGGCCGCAGGGGTCTGCCTGCCCCTTGCTGGGGTTCCCTCTCCACCCCTTTTTCTCTCTCAACCGTCAGATTTGTGTCCCCTCCTGCAGAGAGGGCAGCTCCAGGGCCTGGCCCTGGGCTGGAGCGCAGGGGACACCCAGGAGGCGAGGGGGGCCACTGCTGCCACCCCTGCCACCAGGCTCTTCGAGGAGACGCCCTCTCCCCCAGCCACCGTCCCGGGGAGCCGTGCTCTGCGGCAGAGGAGTCCGGCGGTGGAGCGCAGGCACGGCCTGCATGCACCCATGCGATGGGGCTCTGGGGCCCTGGCCAGCACGTCCCCGTGGCCTCAGCAGCGAGGGGTACGCGGTCTGCTTCCAGGCCTGTGCCAGAGCAGGGCGTCCAGCCTGTTAATAACAGCACTGGTGGAAATTGTGGAAAAAGGGGCGCCGGGGAGCTTTGCAAGCCCCTCTGCGGGCTCCAGTGCCCAGATTCTGTCCAGGTCATGCTGTCGGCACCTTTGGTTTTGTCGCTGCTTTTCTGGCACTTGCGCAATGATCTGTCTCTCCCTGGCAACAGAATGACTAAATAGCTGCTCGCAGCTGAGGCGCTGGGGAACTGAGACCAGAGAAATGCCGGGGACCTGCTCCAAGGGGCCTCCAGCTCCTCAGGCCTCCTCTGACGCGGGCTTCGGCCCGAGCCCTGCCTCCCCCCCTCCTCTGGCCCTGCCGCCGTGGCTGCAGCGTGCCGGGTGGGTACCACCGCAGCCTTCAGGCCTGCGATCCCCTCCAGCAGCTGCTCTTGGCACCGAAACACTTCTCCCACTGGCCTCAGACCCTGCTGCTGTTTTCTTAAGCGGGCAGATGGGACAGAAAACAGCAAGCTGTTCCTCTGGGTGCACGGTCAGGTTAGCAGCCTTCCTGTGCCTGATCACTGCAGTGCAGGGTTCTTGTGTGAAGGAACAAATGCTGACGGCAGAAATCCCGTCCCTCCGGCTCCCCATCCCCAGAGGAAGCGCCGGGGCCGCTATCAGATCTCTGCGGGCTTCTCTGCTGCCCTGTGGCATCTGTGCAGGGGTGGCCCATGCCACCAGCACGGCCGGGTGACGGCACGGCCACACTGGGACCACCAGCGCCCGCTGGCCGCCCC